TATGTATATTTTTTAAACTGTTATTCTCTAATTTTATTTTCATTCTCTGAGTTTTTAATTAAATTAAAAACTATTGTACATGAATGAGTTTATCTGTCACTAACAACGCGATTTTTTTTTTCTCGCGATTCGAATCAAACGATTTCGGTTGTTATAATCAAAAATAATCTGGGAGAGGAAGAAACAGTGTTATGCCCGATACGGCAGAGTCTTCGCAGTTTACCGAGCAATTAGGCTGCGAGGCTTGCTTTTGCGAGCCACGATGTGTGCCGAAGAGAAGGAAGATGCGGAGGTACGAGTGAAAACCGCGAGAGAAAGGAGCAGGAGAGGAGTTGGATGAAACGAGATGAAGAATGGTGGAAGGCAAGGGTACCAATGCGGTAGGTGGCTCTTGGCGGCGAAATGATTACAGGCCGCGAACGCACTCACTACCAGCTATAATATCGAGTACAAACGCAACCAAAAGTATCGGAGTCGAGTCTCCGAAAATCTTCTCTCGTGCACAGATCCTCTGCTCAACATTAATTCCCTTTACTTTTTTATATACGCAATGATTACATATTATTTAAATTCAAATGCCGTATATATATTTAATTCTCGTGTTATTCGATGTCGACAAAAGTCGAAGATCGTATACATGTTAATCGACATCGTGTTTTTTATCAAATCGTTAATCGTGCGTTTCCACACTGACCCATGAATACATTAAGACCGTCTTACTCGCTCATTATTAAAAATTCCAGTCTGGATTGACAACTTATTCTGTACTTAATAATTATTCGTGTCGAGTAAATTAACGTCCATACAGAGTACCTTACATCCTCTAATTTAGTACTTATATTTCTCAATTAACAGTTTAAAACGCGCGTACATAAATTTTTAAAAAAAACTAAATATAAAACGAGAATCTCTACATGACTTTCTTTTTCTTATCACAATAATATGTATATTTGCGACGAAATGTCACGCAACACCCGGTAATATTAACGTGAGACCAATACGACGTAATAGATTCGTGTTATCCCGCTTGGAAATCTGTATGTCGCCATTCTACTCTCACAGCTTATATTTCCGACATGACTGTAGACAGTTTGTGCATGGTGATAATCCGGAAACGACCGTTTAAGCCGGTGTTCGACTACGAGTTCTTTCCGGACCCTCTTTTCGATCTCCTCGAATGCGACAAGTACGTGAGTGAATTACCGGTAGTAGATAGCGATCTGCGTTTCCCTTATGCCAGTGAAGATCAAATCTCGAGAGGATCCGTACGAGGACAAAGAAGATGTATATAAGAAGCGAGAGCGGCAGTGAGAAGAGCGGAGAAAACTGGTCCGTGCTCATACGGGGCGATGAAGACGAAAAGGTGAAAGGTCGAGGGCCCGGTCTCGTGGAAGTTGCGAGCGATCCTGCAGATTGTTACGGAAAACGGAAAAAGGCAAAATATACCGAAATTTATCCGCGGTAATCTATTACAAAATAAGTTAAGTTTCGTTACTTTTGAGTGCAAAAATAAAATCAATCAATTATCACGCGTTTATATACATATTTGCTTATGTAGATCTCTACGGTATATTTTATATAGGATATAAAGAAAAAGCACTGTTTTCCTTCTTCAATAATTTTTGCATAAATTTACGGTTAAATTCCATTTATTCATTTTTATCAATGTAGATTAACTTTGATCTCTCAGTTTAATTTATTTTTTATCCTTTTCTAGTTTTAAGAATTAAAAAAGATAAAGAGTACATTAAACTGAGAAATCTGTTGATAGAAATGGGTATTATTCTCATAAATTTTCTATAGTATCTATTAAACTTTATCTAATTTGCGCAATAGATTGGTGAACGTAATCATGACAGGTTTTTCGCGCGCATCAAATTAATATCTCTCACAATGGTTATTTAATCTCAACAGGAATAACATTACGATCGATCTTTAAACCGCGTGACGCGCTTTTGTATCTCACGATTTATACGTAATCATTTTCTACCCGCTCCTGACAGAACAATGTATCATAGAAGTGCGAAGCGAATGTAAAAATGGATTCTCGTCCCCACCGGCGTTATTATCCGTGAATGGCTTTCTCGGGACTTGATTAACACGTCAAGCGTTATGGATGCCACATGGCGCTCTCACTTTTTCGTTTACAGGTGTCATATAAATGCCGCACGTTACCGTGACGCGTCTGTTCAATTTACGGAATTTCTAATAGCTCCTGCGCCTCGTCTTTATCCCCTAATGGTCGCGAAGTAAAGTAATAACGCATGAGATTGTATAACTCTTTAAATAATATTTTTGATGCGTATGCAAAAAAGTGCGCATTATGCACCGAATTAATACATCAGCTTTTTTACGAACGCTTTCGGTTAGAAACTCGCAAAATACTTCGAAACGATCGTGGATTTCATAAATTCTATTATACTCAATAACATCCCATCAAGAAGATACTTAAACTTTCGAAACTGAAGCCCAAAATTTGTAACATATTTACTGATACTGATGTCTTACAGACTCGTTTAATTTACTCATTTAATTTATGTTAATTAAAAGGCACTAATTAATTTCAAGGAATTAAAATGACATAACTCGTATAAAAATGAATATTAAGTATATTTCAATTAATTCAAATTTGTACATGAAATATAACGTAATAAAATATAAAGACATATATATCATAGAGAAAAAAAAACATAAAAAAGATATACTTAAGAAAGAAAGATGAAACATAAAAAAATTGAATTTGACATTTTTGAAAAGATTTATAATTGAGTAGTTCCAATAGATTCACCGTTAGTTTTGGAAAGTTAAAAAGCAACAAGGTCAGGAAGCTTGTAATATTGCGCTATAAAGGTAACCTCAAAGTATTCTCATATAGAATAGTTAATCATTTTTAGTACGTTGGCGACAAATGCATTGTAATAACGAGTGAATACAATAGGAGGGTGAATTGGAAATAAGGGTATTAGTATATACGGAAGATACGAATCTATCTGCAACTAGATACCGGTGTTAGTCGCAGACACAGAGGGAACATCTCGTATTAACCGCTAAATCCTCGTCACCCCATTGCGACGTTACGATCGTTTCGTGTTGCAATGTTGCAATGAAACATGTCTCTGGGCGTCGAAGCGTACATGTTACAGACTCATGAAAATAACGCGCAAGCTACTCTTTCGCTCTCTACCCCTTTCCTCTCTTTTTCCCTTTCTCTCTCTCTCTCTCTCTCTCTCTCTCTCTCTCTCTTTCTCTCTTTGCGCCGTGTACTTCTTTTAGTTTTACTAAGTGGCCATATGGGGACATTCGACATAATGGGGTGGGAGCGGCTCGAGCGAAAAAGCTCGGCTTACAATCGCCTCGACGAGATCTAAAAGAGCCGCAGGGGAGCCAGAACTGGTACGAGAAGGTCCATTATCAGGTTGCAAAACATACATCTGGCCGGTGAGGGCACGTGCCCGGGGCCTTCGGACGAAGGGCACGCCTCCTAAAGCCCCCCTTGCCCTCTCTTCACTCCTCACCGAGGCATCATCGTGCCCTCGTCCTTCTAACCCCACGACGACTTCGAGTCTTCGCGCTCTATGGACTCGATCTATGCGATCGCGCGTTCGCATTCGAACGAGGTGTTAATGCGCCTTGTCGACAGCACCGCGGGTGTCCGATCATGTTTTAAATAGAATAATATCAGCGAATACAATTATTTATTGTATACTCAATAGAGTACTTCATATATGTATACAAATTCTATATAGAAAGTATAAATACATATAATAAAATAGATCACACATTTATGTAACAGATATTATCAAATTTTATTTTGTTTTTTAATTACAATTTAGATACGTTGAAATTATTAATTTTGTGCAATTTTATTATAATTTATGTATTATCTTTAATAAAGTTTATATAAAATTGATATAAATTTATAAGTATAATAAGTAAATTTAAGCGTTATTGTATGGTTGTGTATAATTGAGATAAAGTAAAGTTAAGAGAAGTATGATCCATTCGAAGTAATACGTATATGTTTTTCGGCCAGATAAGAGGCCAATGATGTCGTTTTAAATTAGCTGTACATCCGCTGAAAAGTCTATGGCTTATCTCGAAGGTGTCGTTTGCTTAGCGATGACGCATTGCGATGACGAGATGACGACCTTATTACTTAATCTACCGAGTGTTACGAGACGTCTCTCGAGCTTGTGTTAACTTAAGCAAATCGACAGATTTGTCACTGGCAATCTTAACGACCATGATCGGACCTCTCTCTCTTTCTCTCTCTCTCTCTTGTTACTTATGTTTCTCATTTCTTCCTCTGAAACTCGTTCCCAATGAATCTCTCTATTGGGAACATTGATTATATTATAATACGTATTATCTTTTGAAACGCAGATTAAATACGTCTTAAGTTTATGTATATATATATGTCATCTAACTGCGATTTTTTGCGCGAAAATGTTTTGCAAGAAACTTATTCCTTACTACTTCTTTAATAAATTTTATTTTAATAATTTAATCTTAGAACTAGCATCAATATTGATACAGTATTACTATATATATTGATACGTAAATTTTACATCCGAGTAAATTATTTCTAATATGATATAAAATTTTCATATTTTTATTGATAAAATATTTATCTATCTTATTATTTTTATCTAGATATTTATAAATTTAAATAACCTAGTAACTTAAAAGAAAAGAAAAATTAAGCAGATTATTAAATTTAATTCTGCTAATCGTTGAAAGCGTAGCTTGACGCTCAATGATTTCGCTCATTTACACAAATTTACATACAATAGCGCCCTAGGGTAAAACATTGCTTTTTATAAAAATATTCAGTGGAATTAACTATTAGTTCTTGGATATAGTCATATTAAATAGCATAATCGAGTAGGCAAATTATAATACTTTCGTAATGATTAATATGATATAATAATAATTCTCATTATTATTAGCTGATAATTAATTCTTCATAGCACATATTATTAAACTTGATCTTTCCTTACCTCTGTCGACGATCTTGCCGAAAAGATTTTTCCCTCTTAGAAAATTTTTCGTCGAGCAATTCCATCGCCTGTTGCGAAACTGATGTTGACATTCGGCGATAGCTTGGTTCGCACCCCTTGACACTGCCATCAGTACTCCTGGATTCTCTCTAGCGAGCCTCCTCTGTTTTCTTCTTAGGGTGGCGTAGACCGGTTCCATGTGTATGGAACCTGCTGACATCGGTAAAAAATTGTTGGGTTCGCCTGCTTTTGCAATACCCCTAAAAAAATTTAAAAAAAACGATATATTATTTTTTATATTCTTCACATTTTTTTAATAAAATAATACTTGCGACAAGAAACACATTATACTAACAAAAATGGAAGTAATATATTATGTATAATATAAATAACAAATAATTAACAAATTATTTAAATATATAACAATAAATAATAAATAATTAACACAATAAATAACAAATAATTTAAATAACAAATAAAATAAAAAGTAAATTTCGCAGAAATATGGCAAGACATAGAGACAAGAAAAAGAAGAAAGCGGAACATACTTGTATAAACAGAAAGATTTATTGAGAAAACCAATTCTTTATAATTTGTTAAAAAGAAGCAGCCAAAAATGACTTTGAGTGCAACTATTGAAGTCTGTATTCATCTTGAACATACAATTCCTCGGAGTTTTGTTAAAGGACGAAGTAGATCTGGCTAGCATCGATGGAAGCAGATTTCGATGGCATCAGGTATACGCGGAGCGTTAAGGACGTGTTTTCAAACAGGGATCGTGTTAATGAAGAGCCTTTGAGTAAAATTACTCCCGTGATCCAACGGTACGTGGTGCTCCCTTCGTCTCCCTCGGGGGAGACGTAATCCCGATCGTATATCCTCGACACAAGCGTTAAAGTGCACATAGTATGCGTGCTTTCGTGAAATTATCAATTTATATGCAGCTGCGTTTGGCCGTGCTTAAGCTAGCCCCGGCCCCGAGTAAAGAGCTTAATGCAATGCGATCGCCGGTAAATTCCCTTAATGAGCCTCTGTGTATTCGTTCTGGCGAGCGCCGTGCGCGTCGTTATCGTGTTTGTCGCGTATTACATGACCGTCGTAATGTAACACACAAGGTATCGGGCCATATCGCGCGAATAAATTTTAATTACGCGGCAATTCTGAGAATGATAATGCGCACCGTCATCCGCCGCGATTGCATTTGTCCTATCCGATCCACAGCGCGACAGGTGCGATCGATCTGGTAGAGAAACAACTTCCAATTTGCGCTAAATAGAGTTTTTATAATCAATATTCAATCCTTACTTATAAATCTCTCTCTCTCACACACACACACACACACACACACATACACACGTATACATATGTCTCATATATCTCTTATATATCTTCAAATTCTTCAATTATTTATTTCCGAGTGCAATTGCAGTTTTAAATAAATCTTTTTGAACCCTGCATTTATTTGCTTAGAATTGTCGATATGGAAAAATTGAAAAAATGTTCAATTCGTAGAATGGATGCTCTTTATCTTCTTAGAGAATTATAATCTTGAAGTAATAATATCTATTCTGTGCGATTTTGTGTGATTGTTTTAGAAACAGAGTTTAATATTTTTAAGTGTTCTTGATTTACAAGAACAAAAAAAAAGCTCAAATTGTCCTTTACTAAAACTTTAAAATGCAATTCTAAAAGATTGCATTTGACCCATTCGAGAAATTGTTTGCGGAACGTTTGAATAGATGTATAACTTATGGAGGTATTTAAGCGTGCGATTTAAACAGTAGTCGTCACCACGAAACGCCAATTTCGAGCGCAAAAAAGTGCGCTTTCTAGAAAGAACGGGCAGTGCGAGAAAGAATGGGGAGCGACGAAGGTGGATTAGCACGAAAGACGAAACTGGTTCGGCAGTTTCGATCAACGGTAGCTCGTCGTGTGTATAGGGTGTATCTGTGTCCATGGATTTATTATAAATTCCTTGATCAAATTTAAAGTTGAATTTTGGTCATAAAAATGTATAACAAAATGTTAACTAATAAAGAATTCATGTCTACCCTATAAAATATTTCCGCAACTTTCTCTATTCGTAATTTAAGATCAGAATTCTTTTTAAATAAAACTTTGAAATAAAATGCAATTTTTTATATTCGTAAGACATTAAAATTGTCTAATATTAATTACTTATATTGAAAAATTATTAATTAATAATAGGTTAATAATCACTTTAAATATATATATATATATATATTTTTTTAATAATATATCTGTTTTATATTCGACAAAATCTGAGTAGTTATGTTTGGACGGCGTAGTTCGGAGAAAGTATCCATCTTCTGATACACCCTATATATATATAAATCAAGCTGCCGCGCGAGTCCAGCCTGTGAAAGAATTCGCATCTCGATCGATCGAACATCGCGCAGAAAAACGTTTAAATGCGTTCACGGTGTGCCCTTCGTGGGAAGAGGGATGCGAGGATCCCCGAAGAAATGCTGGACCGCGCAAAATGCATACCGATCAGATGCGATAAGAAACGTTGTAACTCGTTCGGACACGAAATAATCAGAAAGTTGATCGTAATTCGCAATTAAAGATGATTTAACTAGACATTGATTTAAAACTGTATTTATATTTTTATCAGAAATATGATTATTACTGAACTGGGGCATAGTGATCCTAAGAATAATTTTATAAATAATACTTTTTGAAAAAACTTTGAATGTTTATATCTAACAAGATTTAAAAGTGATAAATTCTGTCAATAATATTGCATAATTAGATTTATTCTTATATCGGTCCAATTTTTTATTATAATAACATTTTATTTGTGCTTTTTGAACAAGCTTATCTACAAATTAAGAACGTACATAATTAAACTTGAAAAAATTCCTAAAGAAAATAAAACAAAAAAATTTTAATAGGACCTGAAGATTTATATATTCCTTTACGCCACAAAAAAATATATCTATATAAATAATGTATTTCTGTTATTAATTATATATCATTTAAAATATTATAGATATTTTAATCTTATAACATAATTCTCAAATAAAACTAGATTAGCAAAACAATTTAGCAAATAGTACGAACACAATGATATTTAAGATGATACAATTACAAGAAAATGTTAACATAATTAACAAAATGTTAATATAAAGTGTCATAAGCTTTTCCTAGAAAGAACTCCAAATAAGATCGTAAACGTCTGATTTGACCGCGTGAAAAAGCACCAAATGTGTCGGATATTTGTTGTTCTTTGGAAACCGGGCGGGGGATGCTCATGTGACTTTTATTTAAAATAGCTCGTGTGTTCTAGGATCGAATCAGTCATCGTCCGGCATAATAAACAGGTAATCACTGTCGCCGTGACTCCGTCGACGCTTCGTGGTTTGAACGGAAATTGAGGCCCTGACAGAAACCGGGCTGCATGGCGCCCACCGCGAAATGACTGTCATCCATCCGCCACCGAGATCTCTCGTTGACACTTCCGAGCGGGTTAAACAAACTTTCGTCGGAGTAAGAGGTGGCAAACACGTGGCCCGATAAAAGAAGACACTGAATTGTTCCTTGACATTGAATCAGGAAATAGTGCATACTGATTTACAACGACGTACTATACGAAATTTAGAGCGATGCAAGTACAACGCGATAATAAAGGAGACGTGAAACAATGCTTGGTGAGTCCGAATGAACGAAAGGGATATGTCACTTGGTTTATAAACGAGTCGGTATGCGACGGTATCAAATACGTGGCTCAGAAAAGGAAAATGGAGAACGTAACGTCCCGGAAGATCACTTTCTCGTATTCACTTTAGGGCAAGAGATACAAAAACAAGAGCACGGTAACGTACGAGAATCTCAGCACTGGAATTCTGTAAGTTTTAACGACGGTGTCGGTTACATTACATCGTTACATTACATAGATTATTATATATGATAAAAGAGCGGATGAGTAATACCACCGATACGTTATTAAAATTATAGAATCCCGATATAGGAAGCGTAACGCGTTAAAACGCGAGACGGTAGTCGATTAAACGAGATTATTATTGCGCGTATTGCGCGAATAAAAGAGAGAGGATAATAAACCTAGAATTTAACGGTGCGACGTGCTTTCGACGAGCATCGCGAGCCCCGGTGGACGTCCGGAATGCACGCGGAACTCATGCATGGCGGTCCTTCGATTCGTCACGCGCGATCCGCGAGCTCGCACGGCCGATGCGACGTAATGCACTCCACGCAACATCGGCGACGGTGCAGCACACGATGCGCTCGCATACGATGCATTCAATAAGCGATGTCCATAAATAAGCCGCGCCGCGGACCGGTTAGGATATATCTATTGCTTGTAATTTACGTCGGGGGCTTGAAAAGCTTCAGGGACGACTCCTCCATCTCCTCCACCTTCATACACTTTCTACCGCCAGACGATGGCCGAGACGAAAATAATTTATCGCCCCGGGACGGGAGAGGGACGGGAACGGAAAGAGAAGGGCGAAGGGCAATAACGATCCTCCCAACGTCACGCGCTCGTAGTGACAAAAGAGTATATTAAATTCGCGCCGTTATCACAAAGTATCTGCGATATATCACGTGCGTTTTAATGACCCATCGTGTCTTCTTCAAAATCATACGAGATCTATATCAGAAGATTCGTCGTAAAGATCTGTATCGGAATTCTTTGTAAAGAAAAATCAATTTAACTGCGCTTAACGTTAATATTACTCGCGTGGTTCTTTTTTTAAACGTAATTAATCACGCGGGATGTTTCTATCTTACATATTATCTTAACATTGTACGTCATTATTCTCTTTAATGATTTACAATTAAATAGAGATTGATAATATTCTATACTTCCTTTAAATAAAATTAATGCAATTCTTTTTAATTGTATGGAATTTGTGCTAATATAAATGGCATTCACATATGTAACGAACTTATAAAATAAAAATGTCTTGAACGAGTAATGAAGGGTTAACTATATATTTATTAGAATAGTTACATAGATTCACGTGTAATTAATTTGAGTACTAAAATCTTATTCTTTGCTGTCATACTCACACTGTCAGAATCACCCAGTCAAATAATCTCATCAAATGACAAACTGTTGTTTATTTTCTATCAATTGTGATGTAATTTATGGGGTCTCATTGTTTATCTTAGACGAGCTCACGCTCACAACACGATGACGCTATTTCAGTCTTATCCTTCGTGCATGTGCTCGCAGCTCTCAGATGAACAAACGCAGTTGCGTATTTAGAAC